GGGGGGGGGGGGGGGGGGGGGGGGGGGGGGGGGGTTGTGAGAAAGTGGCCAGCTGATGGACAGCAGTTACAGCTCTCAAGAATAGAAGGCTTGGAACCACTCAATTTATTTGCCTGCATCAGCAGGTACATACATGTTCTTTATTTTGACAGTGCACACGCTTGCACCCATAAATGTGCATATTCTGCATGCTTGTTAAATTGTTACCTATGTAGATTAAACCCTTTGTCTTGATGCAATAGCACTCGGAACAAGCCAATGTGCTGCAGTAGACATGTGGTCTAAGCGTAATCCCTTGTTCTACTTTACCAGCAGCTTCAGCACTCAAATCCAAACATAATTTTCTGCTTGGGCACTACACACAAATGCCCTCTGCACTGAAATCAGGCAAGTCCCTGCACCATTTTTTCCCTCCCTGACCTACTTTTGTAGTAAGATTATTGCAACTGTCATTTTTTTCCATGTCTGTTTATTAATCCCAAGCGCTAAGCCCAAAGGCATAATTTCAGCATTCGTTTAACAGTTCGCTTGCTCTAGCCTCCAATTAAAAACCTTTTGTCAAGCCACTGCGTTTATTTTATTTTTTAAACTAATGTTCATTTCAAATACAGGCTGTTGAGTTTTGAAAGACAAAACGAGGATCATTTTACATATTCATTAAACAACGCTGACCTTCTGCAGCTCTTAATGTAATGGAAAACGCTGAAAGCATTCAGACTTCAAAATGTCACCGGAGTTAATTGAACAGAATAAGGTTCAATATCCAGATCATTTTCATCAGCGTTCCTGATATTTACACTGCAAATAGTGACAGATTTTTTTTTTTTGTTGATAAAATAAGGCCATTTAAAAATATTTTGAGAAAGCAAAATATCAAAAAGCTTTGGATTTCTCTCCAAAAGTCAGTAAGTCCAACTGTATTGTTACTCTTACATGAATTTACAGCTTTACCTGGGAAGAGAGACTGACCATTTGCTTTTTGTTTGACTTGAAAGGTTTGTGGAGGAAATAAGGCCCATTTTACACTGGTTGATGACCCAGCAGTTACAGAACACATCAGCTAGAATGATCTTTGAAGGGTTTTGGCAAGATGTATGTGGGTGAATTAGGGACTCACTGGGTTCTTTATTATGTGTCTTATACTGTAGCATGAAAGGCTGTGACTTCCATAGCAAAACTGTGGGACCTTATTATGATGATTAGCAGAGTATCAGGGTCTTGGGTGGAACGTAACCACAGCTTGGTATATGCACACAAGCATTGCTTCATCATTAAGAATTTGAAGCAGGGATGGCCATATTGGCCTCAGTTATAGGTTACAACCTCACCATGCCCACACAGAGCCAGCGGCGCTCCCAGCAAGGTATTGCACAACCTTAGGTGGAGTTGCCATTCTTGCTACAATCAATAGAATCACAACACACTCTCAGCACGTGACTGCAATGACCAATTCACTCTCTTTATGCACCAGTATATATATATATATATATATATATATATATATATATATATATATATATATATATATATATATATATATATATATATATATTGCACAGCTGTCCTTTATTTGCCTTTAGGACGCAGAGCAAAAAGGCCCTTTTCTCATCATCAGGCCTACGGGACAAGGAACGAATAATTCTGAATGTGATGAAGGTTCTGTATCCCTTCACTTACATCCTCTTATGCTTATGACAGATGTTTCCTCCTTCACATCTATGCTGAAACTCATGGCAGAGACCCAGAAACCTCCCACATTTTTAGGAAAGCTCTGCAGATCAAGGAAACAACCTAGTGCAGGCATGATGCATGTGGCAGTGGTAACGTGGTGTGTAGTGAGTAACCGCATGCTGATGTGTTTCCAAAGAGTTGTGCCTGGTAGTGGTCCCAGGGCATGATGGGACTGTGGGTGGACAATGCAAGATTACTATTGAAACATGATGCTGATGTATAAAATGCAGTAAGCACATAGGAGGGTCTTGAGGAAACAAAAATGGCAGACCAACTAACCTATTTGGCATTGGTCTTGAGCGGAAAGTCAAAACTGTCTTCATACTGAAGAAGGTTTTATGAATTTTCTGCAGCCACATTCTAATAAGTTGTATAGGTGATGGAGAACATAACAGGGTCATCATTCAAAGTGAAGGGGGCCTAAGAGACAATAATGAACCTAATACGAGGTACCAGTGTGGGAAAGTCTTTCAGAACGTGTGGCACAAACAGGTTTTATTCCATTTTATTTTTCTCATCGCAGGTTTTAATTCTGCTCACTTCCTGCATTTCTCTTCCAAGCCAGTGGGCTACCATTAGGACTACGGCTGGCAGAACGCTTTCAAGGCTCGGTCCGCTCGGTCCGCTCGCTCCGTTCAGCCATCTGCCCATTTTAACGAGCAGCTCAGGGGCTTTGTCTGCGTTAATACATCCAATTGTGTGTGAGGCTGTGAACGCAACTGCATTTTAATGCTCGCTTGCGAGGTCTAAATGACACTGTGCTATAATGCAACATAAATATTCACAGGTCTGACAGATTGCTTTTGTTGCTCATTAATGCACCATGTAATCACAGTAGACAATGACAGGTGTGCTAAACAGTTGTTCATACAGTAAGACTGCAGTCATTCTAAATATCCCTCGGAAATATTCAGCATGCTTAAAATTTGCTTCAACAACAAGTAGGTACCACTTGTGGACATGTGGTCCTAATGGTATTAGAACTGTGTTTTATTTGCCAACAGTTTGGTCTGAGCTGATAGTGGTATTTATGCAGGCATTTCCTACACAAATTAGCCATCTCTGTTCTCATTATCTCCCCTAATTATAGTTCCAAGTCTTTGTGGAATAATCACAAGCACTCAGTCACATCGGTTAGCATGGAAGCAGCGGTCAGATCATTTTGAAGAACTAGCATGGCTATACTCTTGGTATTACTTTTTAAACTCTTTAAAATTTGGGGAAGATGAAGAGGAAATGTCTGGTTGAATGCACCTGATAAAGACAAGGCAGGCACAAAAGGAAGCCAACAATGAGGGGTTAAGAGTTTGACGGACAACCTCCTGGGACAAATTGGGGTACAAGAAGCCAGTGGTGAATTTACTCCTCACATTTCCTCTGCCCCAAGGCTGTAAAATGACAGCCTGCTTTCCCAGTCTAAGCTGGGTCGGGCACTTAAAAACCCATATTGCTTTAACACAAAGATATCATACTTCCCTTCCATCAGCTCCTAGACAAATGGACCACCTACTACTTCTCTTTTGACTCTCCAACACAGACAGTGAGCAAATGGGATGAAGCGAAAAGAGGTCAAGTCCACTCCATTCGCCTGAATGTGCAGCAACCAGCACATTGTGTGCTGCTCTGAACGACGACAAGGGCAAGCGCTGGAGATTTAAGCTCCAAACAGCTTCATTTTAGCTGCAAGCATTGGGCCGTATTACGAAACCAAACACGGGAAAGGCACTTTACAAAAATAAGGCACTAAAATACAACTTTTATTTCCTAACTGTAGACACAGTTTTAAAAAGTTTGCAATCAGGGGTGCAGTGAGCATTCTTTTGATTTTTTAAGGCAAAATTGAGTCATTTTTAACCCTGTCAAACAGGAATTAGGTCAGCAGTGGAGAAAATTTGACATGGGTCTGGTCACACAAAGTTATTTTCTACAATTCATATGCATGAAGAAAAAAAGGTATGTGAGCAAAGTATTAGTAAAATTGTGTACTGCTGTCAATATGAAAATGTGAATGCTTTCATTTGTGCAATCCATGACCAAAAAATAAAGTTTTTTCTAAATGACATTGCTCTTAAAACAGTAGCATGTTTTGAAGGATGCACATTTTTAAATTAAGTATCCCTACAACCAGCAGCAGTGTCAAAAAGGCATAGAAAGCAATTTTGTGTACACTAGTGATAAAATTGAGGTCTAGAAACAAAAAGAAACACCAGCAGCAAATGACTCCTCCATTGTATCTCTGTCATTGGGCTATTTTAGAGTATCTGCAAAAACAAAAGCTGTTTATATCTCAAGTATTGAAATATGTAAGGATAGAAAAGGGCAGAGTATTGTCAAAGAGCTGCATCTCATTACACTCCCTAAAAAAGAGATGTTCTCGGCTCAGAAAGAGAGGGGAAATAAACAAACAGAGAGGAGGTTGTTTCTCATCCAAACTTTGCTTGTACCTTTACGTCCCTGCAGCACCTTGAAAAATCTAAATACATTTAATGAAAAAAAAAGAAAGAAAGAAGACTCAGTGTTGTAATTTTAGTCACATCAGCTAATACCATATCTACCACTGCCTCATCAAATGTAATAACTGTGAAGGGAGAGGAAATGCTGAGCACATCACCTCCAATTTAAGTCCCACGTGAAATGTGAAGAGTTGCTTCGCTGTCTGAGCAACAGCCCGTGAAGAAATATTCAGATTCTCTGTCCTGCAAGAACTGCATTAAAATATTTCAAACACAAGGGAGTAGAGTTGCTCATACTCTCTGTAAATAACGCTGATGTGTAATGGCATTGCTGCAGTCGGTCTGTATTCTTTGAGGTGTTTCAAAAATAAACTTTTTGGTGTGGCGTAAATTTCTTTTAAAATAGCAAGGCAATTATTGGGATTATGTCAAGTTTTAATAGCCTGTGTATATTTTTGGAGGAACAAAAAGCTTTGAGGTTAACGCAACATGACAAGAGGTGATTTCCCACAAAGCAATTATGAAAAAGGGCAACAGGAGTGGACGGTGGGATGTGTTTCTACTGTAAACCTGGAACAAGACAGCAAACCTGGGTTAGGTCAGTGTCACATTTGAAAGAAAACCCTTCTGATAAGAAAGTCTATAATCAATATGCAGTGCTTGACAGAAAACACAGAGCCAGCTTTCTTACCTTCAGTGCAGTATCGACCTACAAATCCAGTTTTGGAGCAGTCACAGTAGGTTTCTCCATCTGCCAGTGAGCAGATCCCACCGTTTTCACAGGGGTTCTCAGTGCAGAGGCCCATCATCTCCAGTCGTACTTTCTGGCTGTTGATTAACGTGGGCAACTTACTCCCATAAATGAGGTTGGTGATAATTCCTTTGAATGGCGGAAGCTCGCGGACAGAGGGCAGGGTGATGGCCGACGTGCGTATATCCCCTGGAAGCCCTCCCAGAAAGAGGTCACTAACGATCTTCATGAACTGCCGCTGGGGCCGCACTTCTCCCGTCTTGGTCTGGCCATCCACGGCTAAGCCCGTCCACAAATTTTGCCTGTTGATGGCAGCAAAGTGCCAGCGGCTGTCATTTACGGTTTTATCAGAGGCAATGGTGGTCTCAGCGCAGTCAATACTGACACGAAGCTGCAACCTACCCTCAGACACAGTGAGGAGCAGAAAGTCGCAGTAACCACCATCGTCAAAGTAGAGCACCAGGCCTTCCGATTCTGAGGTCTTGAACTGAAACGTTAGATCACTTTTAGAGCTGGCGTCCCATCTCAGATATCGAGCCCATTGACCTTGTGAGCCAGTAAACTCCAAGCCTACACTTAGCCCCAGCATGGTACTTAGCAGCATGAGAAAATATCCAGCCAGGCCGTGTGGATGCATTGTAGAGACCAGCAGGGTTACTCAAGGGTTCAAACTGGGAATAGATCCTCAAAGTGATAACATCTGATTACAGCTTAGCTCCAGGGTTTATCTGCTGAATGTTATATTCCACAAAGATTGTTTTGGAGTCTAAGGAGATGGTGCAATATCAGCTTTTTTCCACAGGCAGATCTAACGCTGATAATGAATGGAATATAATCTTGTCAGCCAAGTCTTTAGAGAGATAAAGGGAAAAAAATATCCAGTTTCCACACAAAGTGGATTGGTGAAAGTGTTATGATGAAGGTGATCCTGAGAGTGCTCTGTCAGTGATTTAAAGCTGCATTTTGTGATGCTTCTTTGAGACGACTTCCTGGATTAAAGCACTTAAGGATTTTGGTTGGTCCAGTTTTTTGCCCCATGGTTTAGAACTCAGCTTCAGGTAGAATAAACCTGCAGAAAAAATACCAGACATAATGATTTTAAAAGGAGAAATTGACACTTAACTGGTAAAGCAATAGAACCATTTACAGATAAAATACACAAAGCACTGAATTATTAAAATCAAGGATAGGGATGCAATGACTTTAACCTAATAGTAAAGACTTCTGCAACAAACACTTCATTTGTAATCCAGTCAGAGAGGTTTGATTCAGCATGCAAAAGAGGAAGCGCAAAAGGAAAAATAATCCCCCTATGAGTTTAGATAAAAATAAAAAGACACAGAGAATCTTATCAACATAGCTTTGACTCACTATGTGTCCAATAAATACTAGAAAATAACCACTAATATCAGCCATTAGACTTTCAATAGCCTTTTAGACAGCCATTTTTACCAATTCTTCACTTCATTTGAAGATTAACTCACATAATTGCTCCAAGGTTTAAGCTTAATCTAACAGTTAGCATCCCAATTTACAACCAGACTACCAAGATTAACAAAATAAATAAAGATCAGAGATTGTTGTTGTTGACTGCTTGGCTATTGCAAATCCACTGAGGTGAGCCAAAGCATGTGTTTAGCTTTACATGTTGGGCTGCTATCTGCAAGAGCCTGCTGAGATCCTGAATAATATGACTAATTATCCACCACCAGTCGTTCGCTTTCTTTCTCTCATTTGCATGTCTTTGGGGGATTACAAACATAAATGGTGATTCAGGAAGATGCTAGGATGGAGCCATTAATATTTGTATTCTGCTGCCTTTTAAATTTTTTACAACGCATAGAAATAATTTCATTGATCAAAGCATTAAGGATGCCGTAACGCAATATTAGCAGGTGCTGGTTGGTTTGTATTCTGCTAGATTACAACCCCCAATTTTAACTTGTGTGCTGGCATAGTCCAACGGTGCACCTGCAGTTTTGTTTAATTTTGCCCAGTCACAAATGTTTTACATGGAGAAACCCTATATGTGTGTGTACTCTTCTAGCCCTTTGCCCTTGTGATTGTTTCGGCAGTGGGCTGCCAACCAGACAAATGCATTGTCCAATCATGACAGTAGCACAGAACGGAGAAACACAATAGGCCCTTTTAACCACCTGCCCTGAATAGTTAATCTTGCTGCAGCAGGCGAGCTATTGAATTCAGGTAACTGATACCTATGCTAATGCACTGTGTGTGCCACTCCTGTCCATAAATGTATCTCTGACAACACTGGGTTGCTACGATGGATGATTGTTGTTGTCTTTAAAGAGATTTGGTGAGAAAGAACAGAGGTTAAAAGGTTCTGTTTGGGGAAATAACCCTGAATACCCCATGCCAACCAACCCACAAGCATGGGTTATGTATAAAAAGCAGGTTAGTTGTGCTTCATGAATTGGAAAAGTTGTATATGAAACATGAGATGGCAGTTCAGTGTAGTAACTGGACAAGCTTCTATTCAATTGACATGACTCATTGCATGTATTGGCTGATTGAGGTATCGGGTATCCCTGGAGGCTATAGATTTGTAGAGTACGCTAACAATGCTAATCTGTTTCTCCTAAGGCACAAACATAAATTTCCTCAACTGCAGTGTGTGCCTGGTTACCACAATTGTTAAATCAATTTATTTATTTTCCTATTGCGCTCCTAGACTTGACATTGACAAGTAATACCTAATTTAATGTTAAAAATGTGCACCTATTAGCTAGTTTGTATTCTAAGTCATATTAGCATAATGTGGCAATGAGCTAACTTTATTTTATGTATTTTACTGACACTTTTGTTCAGAGAGTTGTTCTGAAAGACGTCTTTAAAGTTGAACATAAGCCTGATATTATTAATTTCTGAAGGGGAAAAAAAAAAACATTTTGCTAATTAGAAAAGAAAAATGTTTTCTTCTGTTAATTAGGCTACACAAGCTGCCAGGGACAATTCCTGAATTGAGCATGTGCCAACAAGAACCAAACTAAACATTCAGATAAATAAGGACAGACAGAGACACACATTTTCAGGGGAAAACTGAATTTTTAAATACTGCAATACATCAAATTATCATCTTTATGGGGATGGTTCTTTACCTGGCATGAATAATAAACTGTAAAAAAAAAAAAAAAAAACACTATGAACACTTAATTTATGGTTAACTCATCTTCCCTGAGACGTGCACGGCATGAACACTTTATAGTTATAATGCATGTTTAAAGTGTGCATTCTGCAATGCATTATGGTCTAGAAAGATCCATGCTTACTTCCTATTCTTTAACTTAGAACTGATTTTTATTTGTTGTTTGTGGACATTTGGTACCACCACTGACTATGGTCTTCATATAAAACAACTATATATATATAAGAAACTATTTTTAAGTTTATTGCTTCGTCTTTACTTTCACTTTTATCACCAAATGGATCCACACTTAATCTAAACGGTTCGTTTCTGCCGTGCGCGATCATTCAGACATCAACATTGCACGTACTGAGGACATTTTGCTCTCATATATAACAAAACTAATTTATAAATACATCTGAATATACAAAATCAATAAAAAAAAACACGTGTACAAGGCCAAAATACTATAACTGGACACCGACCTTGAAAACTGGAAATGGCCGTGAACGCCACCTGACAACGCATGCGCATTAGTTACTGTTTCCCGCTAACGTGTGAACTTCACCTCAGGAATCTGAGGTTGATGTGTTCAAGGCAGCTCGGAAATACATGGAAGCCCTTACATTTAAGTGCCAAATAAGGGACGATTCCGTATTTTAAAGAATGTTTGACAACCCTATGGGATTGTAATGTAATGATTATAATCATGGCTATCAACTGGTTTGTCCGAACTAGCATGATGTGGTGATGAGCTATAAGCTAAGCTAGTGTTGCTGTCGTTTTACAAAGTTCAGTTGATTAAAAATGGCTTCGAGCTTGCCTTTTGAGCACGTTTAGAGAGAAAGACGTTTAACTAATACCAACGAAAGTCCTTTTTTTCCTGTTAATAAAAAATGGAAGACGTATTTGACGCCTAGCTGCGTCATTACAATGAACAATGAACTTTGACGTTAGCTCGTTTGTTTTGTCTCAACTGTCACAAACAAGGACACATTTTCTTGAGTACTCACTGAAATATTACCCAGCGCAGGATATAAGACATGCACGACAACATGCACCTTTTGCTATAATCTTGAGCATACAAATAGCCGCATTTAATAATTAATATTGTTAAAGTCCAAGAACTACAACGGCGGCGGCTCTTCAAGTGACGAGCAGGCTGTGCGCGCTCCCGCTGCGGCGGCGGGTCACTTTTTGTCAGAGCAACACTTTGTGGCACGACACCTGCCCCGCTGCAGCAGGATTTATTGGCATGTTTTGAAATGTAGCCCGGTCCCCCAGCACGCACAGGGGACCACCCTGACTCCAGTCCTCGCTGAGCTCCCTGTCTGTCGCTTCAGCTTGAAGGAACCATTTCATCCGTCACCGCGGACACGAGCAGGTGTCCGAACCTGTTAGGGTGGAGGGGACCGAGCGGAACTGCACATCTTCACATCTGGATACAAACACACCAGGTTTTATTCCGTTATTAAAAAGATGCGTTCATATGTCCGACACATCTTTGATGGTTAAAATAAATAAATAAATAAATAAAGTCTCGTTATGATGAGAAATGATTGGGGGAAAGTGTCCAAAAGGTCAACTCTGCACAGAGATCCAATATAGCGCGCTCTGATGGATTCAATGGTTGATTTCTTTTTATTATTATTTTTATTTTGGGTTTTTTTCCCTTTGCTATTCGCACGGTGGCAGTCTGGCTCCTGCTCTGCAAAACATGGCTTTTATCACGAATTTAGATGCAAAACTTAATAAATTCTCCGGAGACCTTTATTTAATTCGAGCCATCGCCGTTTGGGGTTTTTATTTTGTTTTAGTGTTTGCGGCAGTTTGCATGGATTGATTCAGTCAGCGCAAACTTTCCATCTCGTTCACACACAGAGACTGACGCAAATCTCAATAATAGTCTCCTGGGGTGGTCTTACTTTATTATTATTATTATTATTATTATTATTGGAGATGCGTAAAACGCTTCTAAACTACTAATCCACGCTTTCCATGCGCGCGTATGTAAAAACAATTAAATAACTCATTAGGCAACTACCTAAATTCTACAGAAAATGTATTAAATATATATATATATATATATTGTCCCCATTCTGATCCGGGATCAACCATTAAAACCAAGGAGTGCCCAGTTTGGACCCGTACCGTGTTTGTGGATGTAGTTCCGAGATGACGTCCGAGCGCAAATATGACAAATTAGAATATTCCACAGTGAAATCCCGTCCGAAGCGGAGCGTGTTCCAGCAGCAGCAGCAGTGTGACCCCCCCGGGGGTTGATGTGATGCTGATGTCGGTCCTTCCTGCTCTCCTTTCCTCAGTGAATGTTTCAACTCGCCTCTCTCAGCGCATCTGCGGACGGGCGGCGGGGTTTCTCCCACACTGACGCTCCGACCCGCCTTCTGCACGGTGGGGGCGGACTCACGGGGAGGGGGGGTGGGGGGGTCACTGTATATTGTTCAGTTGCAGGAATGCACATCGCCCGTCGCCTTCCATTGAAGAGATTAAGAGCATCTCATGTTGAGAGGTGGAGCTGCTTCAGCTCAG